TTTACATAAAATTTAACAAGGCATCTTCAAGGTCTGCTGGCCTGAAGATAGAGAAGAAACTACACTGAAACCAGAAGTTTCAGAGGGTACCAGAAGCTGTTATTGTGCTGGGAGAGCCTGAGACAAAGACAGAAGAGGCATAAAGAAAGAAGAATTTAGGAAAGGCTCAAGGATACCTCCCCCTTTCTTCTTTTACTCTCTTCCCCAAGATAAGTTTGTGACACAGGACTTATTACCATCAGCAATAACAAAACAAAAAAAGTTCCAAAATCCACTTTAATGGCTTTCTGTTTTTTCAGTAAGAATGAAGGTTTAGATATTCGGGTTAATTTGAGCAACAAAGCTTATTTTGGTCTTAGGATAAACTCAGAAGTTAGGTAACACTGGGGTTCGATAAGTATTTAAGTTAAATCTACACTGTAAATGCAACTGCTCTTCGGTATTTGAAAAGCCATCACTAACAGTATAATGGAAGACTCTGTCCTAATAGCGATATATATGCCTATAACAGAATTCTGTCCAATCTCTTTACATTATGACAAGCAGGCAGCACCTTGAACTCTGTTTTATGCCATTTTAAGCAGCATATTCCAGCAAAGAGAATATAGCAACTTGTACAGACAGCTGCACCCTTCACGTATGGGCAATATATCTGATGTTGAAAGGATAATGATAATCTAAAATCAATTTTGCTTTAGAAAACAGTGATGGTTAAAAATTGTAAAGTCCAACATATTAAGTCAATTTTCATTGTTTTCTCAGCATTTTTATCTCTATGACAGGAAAATAAATTGCTTAGAACAAATACTTATCAATTATACATCATACTGTCCTTTTAGACAACTTTATACAAGAGATTCAAGCATTCCTTTTTCTTCTAAAAAGAGCATTTATTGAAGGTAAAATCAACTAYTAAATTGCATAATAATTTTTGGAATACAAGAGATTATACCTTTAAATGTGCCTGGAAAAGCACTGTAAGWTAGGAATTCATCACACATTTTTTAACATATCAGTAATAAATTTAAGATCATTGAAAAATATTTACCTTATCTTCAAAACCAATATTCTACTGATAGTAAAATTTCATGCTCCCATTAATTCATCATTTTAGGTCAACCTCAAAACATAAATATAAAATTTGGGACTGGGGAAGTGCTTATTTTTATCTTGTGGACTTTTGAGAKTGCACAAATAGCTGTTATAGATTACTAAAATGAGCTTGTGCAATAATAGTGTCAGCTGTGTAATAATCAGTCTATTTCTAAAAGCACTTGCAAATTCAAAGAGAGAATCCTTTCAGAAAAGGGCTGAGGGTTACTTTAGATGGCCTGAAACTCTACATTTGGAGGGTAGAATTTCAGTTTTGCAAAAAGGTCAGAGTGTTTCTGTCACATTTGCCATTAAAACTGGGTTTCAATAATTTGTTTAGGGAAATGAAAGAGCTGAGATTTCACTCCTGTATCACCATAATTATACTATTAAACACTCAACTCTGATTTATTTTATTTTTTCCAATCTTTCTTTAAAAGAATTATAAATAAYGCGAAAGATACTGGATCAGCAGAGAGACTTACCAGTGGGAAACCAATTTCCAGGCCTAGCTGATATCAGATAGACATTGCCTGAAAACTATGGCTATCTCTTGAGGAATCTTTGCTGATTTATGTGGAAAAAAAAAATGATGTCCTTGTTCTACCTCTCATTGAGCTAGTGAAAACATAATAAAAGCCAAGCTACCGAGGAAAAGGACTGCATTGAAAAGATCTTGCCTGAATTCTTTACTCTGGGGGTCATTGTCTATTTCAGGATGGGGTCTTAATTGGCTGGCTCTTTCATTTTCCATCCCATTCCTTGCTGCTGACTTACTTGCATATTTTACAATTGCAGATTCATATTACACTAATTCACATTAGGTTTTTTGATGATTACTAATACAGCTATTGCGTGTGTTTAGTATCCCACATTTCAGCACAGCAGGGACTGACAGTAATAAGTATCTTGCAGAGTAAATCCTTTGATATCAGCTGGCGATTAATTGAGGTACAGCTTTAATTTTAAATGATTCTACCACTATTATAAGCACAAAGATATCTTCACAAAGATGTCAATAATTTCACTTAAGATGTTCTATAGTAGAGAAGTCAATAGTACAGCAGATAACTGAGATAACTGCTTTCTGGTGCCTCAGTTTAAACACTGAAGACAAAAAAGAAAATGTTCAGCCATCTTTTCTGCTACATCCAGACTTGGCCAAAACCCTTGCTCAGAACTGAAGTATTGGTACTATCTTTATCGKATTTTTACTCAAGTAAAAATAGAAATTCAAAAAATTGCATTCTGGGCTTTTTTGCTTCTTTCCTCTCACCAAAAACTATATCCAATCTTTAAGATTAGATGGGGATTTTATAATTTTACWGTTTATATGAAAATCTGAAATAACCTTGTCTTCAGTGAAGTTAATAAGGCTATTTAATGAGATTCAAACTGAATCATGATTTCATCAGAATATGGTTCTCCAGACCCAGAATTATGCCAAACTTTACAGAAAAGATGCTTAAATRTTCACTTCAGATGATTAGTTAACAGAATTCAGCACTTCATACTTACTCATAAACATGAAAAGACACGAACTTCAATGTTTATGAACATTTATCTGTACAAATTCATTGAGTCATTAGTACACTTTTATGTGTTGATGAAACTGCTTTATCTGTATATTGTGGTGTGATCTTTATTATCTAGATTATAACCTATGACTGCTTCCTGTACTGAGACGTATTCAAATTCATAAAATAAGAACAGAAGAAAAACTCATGCATTAGCTTGTGCACAAAAGCCTTTTTTCTTTTTTTTTTTAAATTCTTATATATTTTCCTACAAACTTCAKTTCAATCACTTCTTAAAATGAGAACTAATTCCCTCAAACAGTTAACAGCTATTTATCCAATTAGAGGGATCAATATTCAAAACTGAACAGTTATGCAGAATTTAATGATGATATCCCAGCCCTGGGTATCTTTGCCTCAGTATTTATTTCTTCATTTGAATATTCCCTAAAAATATTTTTGAGCTGTTCCCCTAGAATGCAATCATTTTAATGCAAATCTCAAATAGTCCAGTTGTTTCATTTTTGAATGAAGAAATAAAAAGCTCATTTTACTTTTTAAAGATACATATTTTTAAATGTTTTAAAAAGTAAAATCTAAAAAAAAAAAAAGCAATTTATAGAAGGAGCAAGACTGAGCAAAGATTAGTAATAGCAATAAAAACAACTAGCCACTGGCAGTGTGACTCTGTCCTTTGAAAAGCTATATTTCATAAGTGTATATTTGAAGTTGGGTAAAGGTGGAAGACACAAATAAGTCAAAAATGTCTACATCAGATCATACATAAAATATACAGCTTGAGGGGATACTAAATGTTCTTCTGGATGGCTAAGCACTGGGAATTGCTTTGACTGTCATCTCCTTGCAGTGACAGCACAACAGTACTGAGCGTAAAACCTGAGCACAGTTCCCGCAGCAATGTCAGCTGGAGTTCAGACAGTACCTTGGACTGCCGGAGTGTCCTTTACAAGGTGAAGCTACCTCCTGTTAATGATCTGCTGTGCTTTCCAAATATGTCATTTGTCCTGTATTATGCCCAATTTGTATCACCGTTAAGGATTAAAATCATATGTATTTGCATCGATGTAATATTTTAATATTAACCTTTGTCCTAAAGTTCAGGCATTTTCTCAGTGAGAGAGTCATTTAATGCTTCTAATAAGGCTGTTCCGAGCTTTTTGTTAGAGATTTTTTATTCATCTTTTCAGACTGTTTCTGACTATCATAGCATATTTTGTCTTAAATTATCTGTTCATTTTTATCTTGTTAGGAACYATTACTGTGTCTCCAGGTTGTGAATTTTATCTCTAATTTTCCAGTTAATTCCATGTATCATTTTAGGATTCTAATTCCTGAAAGACAGGGCRGCTCCTAAGATTTTGTGTGGTGAAATATTCCATGGCATTACATTTCATTTAACAGCCATGCAGGTTGGTACAATGGAAAATAATAAAATGACAATGCATTCTGCTATATGTATTTAAAAAAATAAATAGTGTCTGTGCTTTTTTATACATATATACTAGAAAAAAAAGATATTAGCATGTTTATATTTGGCAAATCCGCCTCCAACAACTATTTTGCTACATCAAACAGATCAATTAATTGTTTGACATAGCACAATATTGTATATATATTTAAAGCTATGAGAATTTCAAAACCCTCTTGRAGAATTTGATTGCTATCTTTCACAATGTCATGTGTTTAGATATTTATTTAAAACATAACTTCAGTCTTTATCTTAATAAATGTGAAATTTACTGCATAGAATTCTGTCTTATTAYGGCTATTTTCATCAAACAGGAGCAAGTCCACTGAAGTCAGCTAGGAGATTTGAGATTAAAATTAGAATTCTTTCTTTATGCCACAGTTTCAATRGAATCATGTGTGACATTATGAGGTGCTTTTTTTAAAAAAAATACATTCCAGATTTTTTTTAAAAAAGTCTTTTTGTTTCAGTACTTCTTAAGTCTGTCCAAGTCTGTCATGGAAAGAATAATATGCATTATTCAGAGAGACTGAATACAACAGTCATAGAAAGCATGATGTAGTAGAATGTTTTCTTACAGATTGCTCAACTATGTCCTACTAAAAAAGTAAAAAGTACTATTTTTACTGAAATATTTTCAAAAGCATCAGTATCATCTTCCTTGTGACTTCATAAATACAGTTTAATATCTGTGGCTATTTCCTTTAAATAAATATATAACACAGATTCATATGCACAGGTTTTAATGCATTTTAAATGACTCCAATAATAAATCTTACGTGCCTACATGCAGAAGTCACTGTACTCACCTTAACATCAGTTGGACATAATGTGGATCCAAAGCACCATCAGGAGCAGTAAACAGAAATTGCATTCTAGGAACCGAGCCAAAAAACTCTTCTCTCACACATATCTTTTCCTTGGTCCAGTAGTTAACATTTAAGAGCTCGAAAGGCTGCAACATATTTTAATGAATTGTGGACTTTTGCACATTTTGCAAAATAACTATGAAATCACTCCCGAGCAGAATCAAGAGCAGAGGAAAAAAAAAAAAAATCAAAAAAAAATCCATTTTTTTTTTCTTTAAATCTTGGGTAAGAAATTTTCAAAACAACTTTAATGGAAAGAGAGAATATTATTGCTATGTGACAAGCTTGTCTACAAAACCTACATGCATCTAGGCAATGCTAAGAGCAGTGAGCAAAATGTAATACCCTAAAATAAAGAACATTTATCCTGTTGTCTTTTAAAGTCTTTAACTTGCTTCACCTGAACCAATTGTTTTGTCCTGGCATCCACTTCTAGTTCTACCACAGAAAGCTAAGTCATAAATAGAATCATGAGAAAATTTTAATACTGTATAAACTCCTAAGCTTTTTCTCTTCTTTCTTTATTTTTTTTCCTTCTGTCTTCTTAGCCAAAAAGCTGAACAGCTTTTGTGTCAGAGAGGTAGCACCTGGAACTCTGCATTAAAGAGCTTTTAAAGGAATGACAAGAACTCTTCTTGCCCTGAGCGTTGATGGCACTGAATTAATGCATTTCATTTCATTCCCATGTAGACTGTGTTAATCTCCATTTCTGTACCTAACAGAAAGTAATGCAAAGGGACAGAAACATCCTGAACCTGTAAAGTAAGACAGTAAGAAGAAAATAGTGACTCCAAAAGATGTGATCTGAGTTTACACTTCATACAGTTGAAACCAATTCAGCAATTGACTGCTCAAATCATTAAAAAAAAAAAAAATTGCATAATGGTTCTTGAAGAGCTGCTATCTTTTTAAATGGTGCAGTTTAGATTTGAGCTTTGCTGATAAGCAATTATTATGTCAGTGTTATGGAATAATATTTCTTGGGAAGCAAAAATGGAAATGAATATGAAAGTGAAGCATATATGCGAAATATATATGTATGTAGATAGTTTACACAGATCTTTCTCCAAACTGAAATGGTTGTCAATAAGAGATATTTAGAGTTTTTTTTTCTGTTGCATCTTCATTTCTTTCTGTCTCTGAAAACCTGCACTGAAAATACCTTAGAGTTTCACTCAGGTTTTATGACATTATTTGGACATGGAATGACCAAATCACAGGGATGACACAAGCTTCCATGATATGGAAGTATAGAGGATACTTTTAGGAAACTTTTAATATATTAGACAATTATTCTTCAAAATTAATCCCATGCACATATGGGGGTGCATGTATATATGTAGCCAAATGTACATGCATTAACACCCCTGAATCTATTTTTAAAAGCAAAAAAATAGTGAAAGTGAAAAGGTTCAAGTTTGATATTTAATATTGAATAATAGAAAGCATGCATGACTGCCAAACTGTATTTAAATGAAATATATAACTAGTTGAGCAGATATCAAAATTTTCAATTTAATATCTTGATTTACTATAGCAAGTATGAAAATCAAGTGATATACCAATGAAATATTTATTTGAATCTAGTGAAACTTTTTTTTTTTTAAAGAAATGCTGTCATCACAGGTACTCAGCCCCCTGAATGGACTGATAAAAGCATGACACACAAAATGTATGCCTGGCAATAAAATATACTTTAAAGGAGGAGGTGATTATGAGACAATCTAAAATGTCCTGGCCTCTTCTAATCCATATGACCAGCAACAGAAGCATATTCCCATACACAATCTGGGGAGTGTAGTTTTCTAAGATGAGTCTTAGATAAACAAGCAAGAAAATTAAATTTACTGAGAAGTAATCTTAATAAGTGTCTTTTTATAGAAAACATAGCTGACCTTTTCCCCCTCAGTACAGGATTAGCACTCTGCTATTACCTAGCACTAGGATGACAATTCCTTTATACATCCCTTTTCTTTCAAGTTTTATTTTCTTTAGGTAATTTCTATGTAGTCTTGATTTCCTTCATGCACTTAATGATACCCATTTCTCTCTTTTTGTAATCAATTTGCTGTCTCTTCTGCAAAAAAATTCTTCTTGTGCTTCTTTCGATTCTTAGTGCTACTTTTCATCCTTAAAGAAGTCAGTGGTGAAGGAATAGGAGCAAACTAAGCTAAATTTCTCAAGAGCATAAAATAACAGCTTTTGGCTCATGGATTGTATCAGTCCATAGCTCTGTCCTGACAGCTGTTCCCATGACAAATGCTAGGATCTTCTAAACAAGGCAGAGTTGCAAAAGAGAAWGGATTTCAAGGAGTCATCCGCTTATTTACTTGCAGATAGAGCATCTATTTACAATGTTTCAGAGTATTTACAGTGCAAAAATAGATGTGAAGTCCTTTAGCTTTCCCTAGCCATAATGAGGTTTTCATCTATTCTCATTCCTCTCTCCTCCACATTCCCTCCAAAACAAACACACGTACAGATTCACACGTAAAATTAAGTTCCATTTAGAAATACTTTCCTAGGAATTTYGTTTAGGCAAATTTTGGATAAAAACAAAGAAAATAATAATAATACAGACAAGTGATTATAGGAATAAGAATTAAAATGTTTGATAAATGTTTATGGCACATGTGATGGATTTCAGTGAAAACTTTCACCTGCTTTCTAATTACTACACAACTTAATTCATAAAAGTAATAATAAATTCTCTAACATGGCATATTGCCTAATTCCCRTGGAGTTAATATCTTAACAATTTCAAGATACTGAATGCTGTTCATAGATGAATGATAACAGAATATGAATTACTAAATGATGATTTAGTTCAGACATAAACTTCAGTAGAAAATGTTATATCTATTTCTGAACCATACATTACCCAAGAAGAACATTAGCGTCTCCAGTCAGCAGTTAAAATCCTGGAGTTACTTCAACCTTAACAGTTTTAAAGTTTGTTTCCATTTATTATATAACAAGATATAAAGAAAATGTTATTTGGGTCTGAGAAAGTCAGATTAATCAAATCACCTGAGGATTCAACTGATCTGTAAAATCTTCTTTCTTTAGTAATTARCTGCCAGAATTTAATGTCRTCCTTTCACCTATAGCTAGTTATATCTCAGAATAAAATAATGGAATACAATTTCCCCAACCTAAAAAGGTTCTTAAATATATTCAGCCACATAACTTTAGTGGATGGAGTCTGTTTAGTTACACAAGCTGTTATTCAAGGTGAATGCTACAGAACAAAGGGGGAAAAAAACAATTAAATTGAAGCATCCCAGCAACGGACARGGAAATATCTCAAACTGGAGCAAAAGTATTCTAAAAAAAACCAAAAATTTCAATATGTAATTCTGCAAGTCCTTACTTCCTATACTTAAATAACCTATTGGCTCTTCTCACAGGTTTCAATTTTCCAGGCACTGAAAATGAAAACATGTCTTTTGATTAACAGAAAGTTGCCCATTGATATGATGAACATCCACCTACCTGAGCTTTAAGAAACTTTCTGAGGCAGAAATTATGATATTACTTTCCCTGAACCCACATTACATTCACTGGAGAAAAGCAAGCTCCTGCTCTGTGCAATTCAGGAAAACAAAATGACACTCTTATCCCTAACAGTGGGAAAAAATGAAGAACCAGTACCAAAAACACAAGAAGTTTAGGAAGAAGAGCTCAAATGGACAACCACATCTGTGATTTAACACACACACATATCATTTGCTTCTCTCCTAACATTTTACATACTGAATGCTTTTGTCAACCTAGTCATGATCCCACTGATAGGATCTAGAAGAACCACAGTTAACTATTGATATTCAAGAGTGTAGCATGAGAATAATTAACAGCTACACAGATTTTTTTTGCTTACATTTCTTTCAGTTGCAAAATAGAAAGGCAACAGCAACAAAATCTTCTACAGGAAGCTGCTCAGGCCAAGCTCTTCRATTATAGTTTCCAATCAAAGCAAGAGTCAGCAATTGAGACTTAAGTGCATGCCCTGAAGTGGGAAGAGTTTGGACTTGCTTTGGTCTAAAACATTCTGGGTAGGTAGTGTTAATGCCATTGGACCAATAAGTAATTATTTAGAGAAAATAAAGAGCAGATTTAAAGTACCCATCTCAGTACAGCCAACTGCAGGTGGCATGATCATACAAATGAAATCTTGATTTTGAGCATGGCAAAAAATATAATTAAAGAAATATCTAGTTTTCCACATGCAGTTCTTAAATTCAAAAATATAACAAGTACTACAGAAAGCCTCCACTGCTGAAAGATATATGAAACAAAAGTACTTCTGAAAGAAGAGAATATGAAATAAGCTATCATCTGACATGCAGTGTTAAAAACAGGAAAGTCTGCTATGATGCTGTAACTCATGCAATATATTCCTCCTACAAGCTGGAAGGAAGCTGGACTATTTGCTTAGTACTGACAATTTAGCTAGCTTTTAAGAGCTATAGCATGCAGAACACCATTTCTCYTCTTCCAATGTTTCAGACTACCTGGTGTGGGGGACAATAAAACTGTATAAAAGTGTACAGATGGCACAATATCACCTTGAAAGGTGCCCAAGGTCAAAGGGAAAGGATTTTTCTGTGGAGGTATTTTGTATGCTCACACAGTTCCTCACACATAACTGGTAAAGGGCTAACTTTTTTTCCTCTGTACCACTGTCAGGCACATTGAAATCACAGGAAAACCTGCTGGATCTTTTCCCTCATTATGGCCTAATTTAAGTCTTTATTTTCCCACGGTATTTCATCACATATTACCGGTAACTGTTAGTCCTGCGTTTGTTTTGCACATCACCTCATGTGGCCTCAGTGGGACTTTTAGCAACATTGTGACATGTTTATTTACTGATCACGATCCATCTCAGACTACAAATCAGCACTGCAAACACCAAGTCCTTCTCACCAGTGTGTATACAAGAACACAAACCACTTACAGATTCACCATGYTGATAACAACAGAAGATCTAAATGCTTAAAAAAAAGTTACAGCAACTCTGAGTGTCCTTTCATTTACAGCACTCTAAGTCAAAAATAATACTATTTTATTTAATGCTGCTACACAGTTTTAATACCAGCCCAAGAGAACAGAGGATCAAGGCCAATATACACTTCACATGCCCATGTACATAGTTAACTACATGTAAATGCTGTGTGATTGGTATCAAAGTACCACTATGTTTAGCACAGCAAAAAGGATTAACTGACATTTATGGCTTTACTGTAACARGGAAGTTATGCAAGTCCAGAAAGCATCTGGTTTCTTTGCAGTGAGATTCTTTTTGTCCTTTCCTAGTTGTATCTCTCTATCTCACGCATGGTGCTATAGCAACTGAAGATGTGATAACTTCAGAGAGAGAAAAAAAAAAAAGGAAAAAGAAAAAGACACAGAAAGGAAGTACACTATTCACACTTAAAAAACATCAACAAGGAAGAAAAGTCCATTAGATACATCCATTTTAGAATTATTCCATTTTCGAAAAGCAATTAGTCTTCTATTTAAGAACTGCTTTGAGAATAATTTTGCGCCTCAGTTAATTATTTCACTACCTGAGCTCGAGTCAAATTCTGAGTGAAATCTTTATAAGTAATTTGGCCTAAAATTTGCGGTATGATTAGGATCAAGAGTGTGGAAAGGATTTGTTCAGAATAATAAAATTATCCTACATTATATTAGAAAACAAAATCAGATTATCTTCCCACGTTGGGAAGAAAAACAAGACACCTCAGACTTGTGATATTTTTCAAAATGTATGGCTTGAGTGATGGGGGAGAGGAAAAAAAATGAGAAAAGAGTAAAGGTGGAAAACTGTTTTTCTTTTAGGAATAAAAAAGCTTTTCATCTTGTTAAGAAGTAGTTATTATTTTCCATGTTACCTTCTTAAAAGACTACCAGTAAAAACAAGAAAAACTTCTTTGTAAAACTCACAAATATGAAATTACTCAATGAAGAGAAATACAAATCATTACTGCTGAGAAACTCTACAAACTGTAGAGGTGGTACTTTGCTAAACCTTAGGAGGACTTCAAAACCAAATCGGTAGTACAAACTCATCTGTGTCTTCAAATACAGCCATCCTSTAAGGAAGAATTCTCCAAACATTCAAATGGGAACCCATAGAAAAGCATAAAGATCACAGCAACGTTAAGCCTTGCAATTCCACATCTCTTCACAGCTCATAAAAGCAAAAGTCCTCCTCATCAAGGCAGAGAAAGTTGAAGCAAAGCAAATAAAAAATGCAAAGAGATCAACAGAATGACAACTTCACTTGGTCAGAGACCAAGGTCAGAGAATCCTAATGACATTTTTTTTAAATTATAAATCAAGTCAAAGCCAAGTAAGAAAACAAAGAGTGACAAAGAGTGGCATGAAAATTCTGAACAATGTCAGAACTGACACTCTCAGTAAAACAAAAGGAAAGATTGAACTTTGAAAAATAAATATGACAGCTATATTTTATTAAGAGCATTAATGAGTCATTCATCTTTCTAACATAAACTCAGTAGAGTTTCAGAATCTTTATTTGACATACTCAAATAATAATGACTAAAGACATCCACAACTTTTACTACCACCCTCGTGATCTGATATAGAATAGGAAGAAGCATAAATTTTGAATGTCAAAAGAATGATATTGGGTAAAATATTAACTGAATTGCAAAATCCTTGGATTTTACGTAACTAGAGACAAGATCTATCCTACATTTCACTCTTCTGTTAAAAGATATAATAAAACATTAATACCATATGTTGTAGTGGTGTTGCATGTGCATAAAGTACTCAGATGTGTGTACCGGGTATCATGCAAAGATACTTAGTACACTTAGTATCCTTCTAACCAGACTTATGTATAAAAATATAAACACCCAAGTGAAAGATATGTCGAGTTAACATGATAAAATCATTTGAAAGTGCCATTTTAAAACTGTACTATCTGGTTATTATTCTAACAGTTATCTTTAACTGACACTACARTTTGACAAGAATTCGCAATAGTTTCTTCCTCAGTGTAGAAAAGAACAAATTTTATCTTACCCTTAGTAGGTCAGCTCTAATTATCCAGAGGCACTGATGGAGGTTTTGAGCTTATACATTCATCTAAAATGGGGCCTGTTCTTCTTTCTTCTCCTAGATAAGACAAATAGAGAAATTAAACACACAATAAATTAGTCATGAATCCCATCAAAAATGAAAAAAATAGTTGTAGTTGAAAATTCTATTATATAATACTTACRATATTTTAAAAGGATGTCTAAGAGGAAGGTATATATGTTGTCTGGGCAACAGTAACATAAACATTTWAAAAAACAACCAAATAAAACTTAAGTGTAATCATGAAAGCTTGTTCATGGAAGATAATAGTCAGAGAGTCATCAGATTTTTATGCCTCTTTGAAAGAATGCTTTTGAGAATATTAATTTACAATTGAAATCCTTCCTGAAAAGGAAGGATTCCTTCCTGAAAATTTGCCTGACAAGTTGAACTCCTGTGATCATAATGCAATTTTCATTTCTTTCTTAGTGTTTTTCATCTGACTGCATGAAGATCAAAAGTTAGAATCAATAAAATCTACAATGAAGAGGTCATAAAAAAGTAATCTGCTATCAAAAAACATGAATAATTACAGAGAAATGCATGTCAATATTCTGCAACATTGCAGGACTAGGAGAGAACACAGGAGGCTTACGAGAGCAGGCAAAATAAAAATTTCTTCTCAACAGTGATGAAAGACAGCACTGCAGGTTGCTCCTACAGGGCAAACTATTACAGGTAGAGAAGATTTGGTCCTTATTAAAGGGTCCCATAAAGCTCAACCATAACAGCAGCCTGAATTTACAGGATGGCATAAGCAGTGTTAGCACTACGTCCACCTAGAGTTTCAGAAAATTTTCAAATAACTAGGTGAGAACACATGAAAATAAAATGTTGCAAAGCCAAACAAACAAGTTATAAAAGTCTGAGATTAAATCTGTGCATTTAAGTTAATTTGCCTCTCTTCTCTGTGTTTAGTAAGTCAAAGCTTGGAAGAGAATGATCTTGGTCTTCAGCAACTGGAAGGATTATGGCAAATCAAATGAGATACTGCAGGGAAAGAAAGAATAATCATATGGCACTCTCTTGGAATATTAAATTTTATCCCTCTCTCAAACAAATACCTAGAGGAATATGCRCAAAATGATTCTTCTGAGTCTTTAGGAAATCCAACTAATTGGTCCTCATTTTCTGGTCATAGGAATTTGAGACCTAAAAGTGTGAATTGCAAAAGCATCGAGAACTTAGTAGGGCGAACTAYATCACTGGGACTAGTGCTTTTATTTCATAAAATGCTCAGCCCAGCCAAGAACTCTGTGAGTCTCTGAACTTTTCTGAACTAAAAAGCATCCTGAAATAGCAAACAAAACTTATATTTCATGTCCTTCAAAGAACATTGATAATTTAAGGCCAATATTATACACTTATCTCATAGTGTATAAAAAAAAAACATGGAAAAAAAACGGTATTTCTATCTTCAGCAGATGGCATGAATACCATTCATTACTTCAGACTGCATACTGAAAAACAAAGATGAAGTCAAATACTAATGGTGACTGTCTGCTGTTCACCCTGTGCATTTAACAAATTATTAGGGGAGAGAGATTGAAATCCACCATGTCACCACATTCATTCCTTCTGTATCATCAGTTTAGGCAGGGATTTTTGTTTGTTTGCTTTTAAATAGAAAGTGGTTGATGCAATAGTTTTAACAGTTATTCTAGTCAGTGCATCTCTTAATGATAGAAATCACTTCTTGATACTGGATGGGTTAGCAATAATTTCCCCTCAAGTATTTCAACTTTTTTTCTTGTCCATTTTGCTGCCTCTAACACTGCTTCCAGACAAAGTCTTAACTGCATATGAATGTATTTTTGTACACTTAAATCACATAGGTTAGGAGATTTGATAGCTATTCATTTTTTAAATTTTTTTTGTTTTCTTAATTTGCTTCTTAATGCAGTTCACTGCTATGCTTACAGGTCAGATACAAGGATCAATAAAATCTGCTACAAACAAGCCATAAGGAAGCAATCTGTACTATTTATTGGACCAGGCTTACAGTAACCCAGAATATGATCTGAATGCTAAAGCTGTTAAATTGTCTGTAACACAACAATTCCAATCATTAACAATCCCATTTATCCTGCCTACAATATTGAAAACTACATAAGCATGTATGTGAAATCATAATAAAAGAGATCTTATACTTCAAAGGAAGGTTTTAAAGTTTATTTTCACTTGACATAAAACTGTGGGGTTTTTTTCTTTTTTTTTAGTTTGCAAGAAGATTGCAAGAACAGCTAAAGAATCATAAATTTTCCATTTCACAAAAGTCAACATATTCATCCAAAATATTTCAGAGAAGCACACACAATCAACATACACTAAGGGAAGGAAACCATCTTCTTTGACATATCTCTGTTTCTTAAAATTAAGATATAATAATTGCAATAATGGGATCTGTAAAAGTTTTGGATTATAAATTGATATAAATCTATGTATGTGTATGTATAGATATGTATCTTTTTTAAAAAAAAAAGATAAGTATAATTTTTTTTGGCACCAGAAGGACATGCACATACATGCTGCAGTACAAAATGTCTTCATAATTTTGTTTCACATTTCCAAAAGGCAAATATATAGAAAGTAATAGAGGTTCAGTATCTGTCATTCAGAAGAGCACTAGCATTGCCAAAAAGATGATAAAGTCAGGAAAAAATGGCCACATAAGAGTTTTATATATAAGAAATTATATATGCATGCAACAAAACTTGTATATAACTGATTCCAGTGCAGCTAGACAGATACATTATTATTATTTCAAGTGTTGACATCTCCAAAAAAACTCATTTTGGAGCATTCTCAAAGTACTTTCTCAAGTAATGACATTTAAATGGCCTCTAGCATTTTCAAAGATAGGATTTTTTTGTGTGAAAAGTGGCAAAAATCTTTCTTTTGCARTGGCAATCAAGGAATTTCACTCACCATAAAACATGTCAAAATAATGGATAGCATTCCYGGTAAAGAAAATTAATTTAAACAAGTCAGGTAGAAACACATACCTTTCTAAAAACAAACAAATTTAGAAGTTGCACTTATTCCTTACCTTCATAGAAAACCACTGTACACAATTGTTAATGACTAGTTTATTTTCCCTGTATACCTCTGAGAGAAAAACTTCTTCTTCAACTGGTAGCATTACTTCTCTGAATCTCTGCACAAAAGAAACCCTATTTGACTCCCAACTGGCCCATTAGTTAGTCAATTAGTGTATATTATTACAAAATCAATAATAACATGCCATTGCTGATACRTTTGCCATTTACAAACATGAATATATAGGTCTTCCCACTAATTCTTTATTGAATATATTTATTAGAAAGATTCTTTGGTGARTAATGCATTTTCCTGGCATGAAATCTCTCAGTTTTGCATATCAAGAGCACAAATAAAAGAGGAATTGAGGAAATAAAAGCACCTTTCTATAACTCTTGTTTATTTATCAGAATCTCCTTGACTGTATGAAATATCAACAAAGTACTTCCAATATATCTTTCAGTACATCAATGAAGTAATACTTCATTGTTGTCCCCTTCAGTTCTCTTCAAATTACAGTAACCTCCCGTAGCTACTCCTTAGTGTCCATGACACGTCACCTGATGCATCCAGGATCACCCCTAGCAGTATCATCAATGGCCATACGGGTGAGCAATAAGAGGTAATCAATAATCTCAGGACTCAACAAGCCCCAGCAATCTCTTTGCAATATCCCAGATCTCATTCAGCAGCACGCAACAAACTTCTCAAGATACAAAGTCAGGTTGGTAAGTGGGTGTCTTTGCCCCATGAAGGGAGTATTCAGTAAACAACTCTCACCTATTTCTCTTGGTACAGTCACTTGATTCAATCTTAGCTTGCTCTGGTTCCTCCTTACCTGCTTCTATAGCACTAACTCTTTCTACAAATACATATCTAGAGGCAGAGAAGGTGCATTCCTTCTGTTTAGAGATGCCACAATCTTTGACTCTTTGTGTCATCTGCGGGAATTTCTATCCAACCATCTTTCGAATATACTCCACAGCTGTCCTCCTTTCACAGAATCACAGGGCTTAGATGCTCATCTCTGCAAAGGTCRGTCTCCTGTTCATACACCCTAATAGTGCACAGTCTGGTCATCTTCACCCAGAGGCCCTTCTCTGAGTCACTTGGGCAGCTCCTGCAGAAAAGGGGACGCTCAAGCCCTGTCTCAGACAAAAAAAAAAAAAAAGAAATGCACCAAGTGCTTCCTGCATCAGAAGACCTGAATATCCTCCCTCTGGCTTAAGGCATTTAATAAATCAAAGAACTACTCCTGGCAATGACAGAGATTGCCCTGCAGTGCCCTGCCACTGATAGAGGATGTTGTGAAACAGACCAACTTTCTTGGGTAGAAATTTCAGTTCTTGTCATGCCCCTACTGAGTTGACTCTTACAACAACTGGTGCATCTCCATTTCTCATTCTATAGAAGCCATACTGCTGCCTAAAGGCAACATAATATAGTTGGTTCGCAAACATCTGTTGAATAGGTGCTTGGTACTCCCTGGTGTTCACTCAGAAAAGTGCCTTGATCGGGACACAGCCAAGAGCTGCAAAACTCTCCAGAAGTTAGCCCTCCCCAGCAGCAGCAAGCCTCCAGAGCAGGTTCTGAGCACAGGCAGGTGCCAGATGTTTTCTGAAGGAGAAGCCTGGATACTGCTGTGACCACTGCTCCTCCTCCACTAGCTGCCTCTGCTGCTATATCACACTGCACAAACAAAACCATTAAGGGGCATAGGGATGCTTTTTAAAACCAGGATACAATTCTTTAAACCTTCCATTTATTTATTTGTCATTATGCTTAACTGAAAAGCATCTTGTCTCAAAGGCAAATTTCTGTCCCTGTCGTTATTGTGGTTTGTTTTCATTTTCTGTAACATGAACTTTTACCTAAGGCAATTTGTATTCTCTTTATATGATTTTTGCTGGAAATAGGAAAGTGCATAGACACGGTACATTGCTGCCTAAGCTAAAAGTTTTTTTCTAGCATGTAAGCAATGTCTGAAAACAACCTTC